GCTGACAAACCGGACAACGCGGGAGCCGATACTCGGGGGGCCGGTCACCAGAGCCAATGAAGTGGCGGGGACTGGGCGGGGCCTCCTGGGCTGCGGGGCTGGCCAGAGAGGACCCGTGTCCACTCGGAACTGAGGTGAGCAGGCCTGGGCGTGACCGGAGGCTCACTCCGGAGAGGCTTTTTCGGTTGGGTGGGTGAAACCGGAATCAGCGTTTCCTGTGGGACCTGCAGCAGCAGAGATTTGGCTTTCTGGGGTGGGAGGTCAAGTTCCCGGAGCGGTTTGAGGGCTTTCGTTCAACCGTCAGAGCAGGGCCCCAGATTTCCTCCTGACTCGCTCAAGCCGCTCACTGTCGGTGATGACCTCGGTTCTCGCTGTCGGGTCTGCTGAGGGGCACACGCTAAGACGCTGCCTTTAAAAAACAAGACTTATTGAAAACACCAGGAAGAGAACCGCGGCCTCTCAAATCCCAACTGTTCCTTTGAAAAGATATTTCAAAACAAAACAAAACAGAATCCTAGCGCACTGAAAGAATGCGCATGATCCCTCAGAACGGACTCTTCTTGGACATGGATATTGAGGTTGTAAATTAAGGTATCGATTTTCTCAGCGGGACTGGATGACACTAGATTGATTTTCCTACACGTCTTTCTCTCCAGGGCTGTCCTGGGTTTTCTTTGGAAAAATGCACAGAAAACCTTTATTCATCATGTCTGAGCAACAGCGGAGCTTCATTGGAAAAGAAAGTAATAATTAATTCTTCTAATGATCTAAGCACAAAGAAACTATAAAAACTTACTGGTGGTACAAAGCCACAGTTCTCTCTTATTACAAAGGGCTTGCCAGATTTATTTCAAGAGTTAAGGAATGAGCACATGAAAAGATGGTCAAGGGACCAGCAGTTAGCATAATGGCTATGTCTCTGGACTCCCACATAGTCGACCACGGTTCGTGTCCCGGACCCGGTGGCTTAAAACTCACGCCGGGCGCGTGTGCGTGCGTGCCCAAGATCCCGAGAGGAGAATGGAGGAGAAGGGATTGCGGCGTGGCCATCCCCCCTGGGGGGGGGTGATTTCTCGCTTTCTGTCTCTCTGTCTCTGTCTGTAGAGCGCATGTGCCCTATAGTGAAAACCTCTTCAAAAAAAAAAAAAGATGCTCAATATTAGCCATTAGGGAAATACAAATCAGAACCAG